AAACCCATGCGGGATTAAACAAGTTCCGACAGAAGGCTGCACCCAAACCTCCGCCAGCGTCCTCGAAGAATACGCGAGAAGTACGAGCGATCCGCGTAGCAGAAGATGGCAGTGAGTCGGAATCGGATGTGAGTACGTCGGATCAAGAAGACGAATGCCGTAGCGTGTACCTGGTGGAAGCTAAAGATCGGGAGAACCACTCGATCACGCCGACGCACAGAGACGGAACCGCCGACCATCCCATGATGTCTCAGAAGAATTGTACCCATTGCGGATCAACGAAGCACGACAACTTGGTTTGCTGGAAGAGGCTGACGTGCCAAAAGTGTGCCAGGAAGGGGCATCCATCCGATCATTGCCTTTTCGTCTGCCGCGCATACGGAGAGATGCATGAACCCGGAAAGTGTCCGATGGAGGAGTTCTACAAATTGATCCATCAATGGTACGTCCCGAACAAGCATGCGAGAATGCTGCCAGCTAATGCCGAGAAGATGCTAATTTATAGCGCTCGCCAGGTTGGAATCTGGTACGAGCCGAGCGTTCTGAGATCTGCATTTATGCATTTGTCGAGAAGCGGAATACACGGAATGACCGACAATACATGTGAATTGCACGAGAAGCGTACCTTTACAGTCGCAAGTTTGCGAGAGAATGATTATTCTCGATCGGATGTGATCATGGAGCTGGACCTACTGCCAGGAGAATCGTGAGGGTATTGGAAGTACCACGCTCCAGATAAATGGTTCAAGCAAGCCAAGTCAACCGCCAAGATCAACAACAAAAAGGCCACGCTCCTTTTCGACTCTGGAGCTGAAGTCTCCATTGTGGATTCTACCTTTGCTCGTAAGGTCGGATGCGTTATAGACGCCAGCCAAAAACAAGAGTGTGTTGGCATTGGAGAAAACGCGTATATGACAGAAAGACGCACCCGGATCAAGATCACGCTCGTGGGAGCGTACGTGCACTACTTCGGCGCCTGGGTCGGAGAGCTGTCAGGCCAAGAGGCGATATTGGGGATGGGTTTCATGATACCGGCAGGAATCTGTCTTGACATGGCCGACGGGTCGCCGTGCCTCCCGGATGAAGTGAGCATTTTGCTGTCAGGGCGCATCATCTAGAAGCGACGCCGCCTGCTGATAGGAGCCGGGAACACCTTACCACCGACCGCTTTTGGAGCTATTTGCGACATCGACGTCGGAACGGCAGACCCGGTAGCGCAACGATGTCGACGGGTAGCGCCACAATTCCGCGAGAAGCTGTCAATTCTCATCAAAGGACTGCTGTTGGCAAAGATCATCACTACCTCCACCTCACCTTGGGCGTCACCCATCGTAGTCATCATCAAGGCTAACGGGGTCGACATCCGCCTCTGCATCGACTACCAGGTAGTGAACAGCCTTACGAGGATGATGGTATACACCATGCCGTTGATCAACGACCTCCTCGAAGATTTGGATAAGGCTCTTTGGTATTGCTCCCTTGATATGGCCAGTGGTTTCTGGGTGGTATCAATGACCCCGCGAGCAATGCTGGTGTCAGTGTTCATCACACCGTTTGGGCTGTTCTAGTCGACGAGGATGCTGTTCGGACTAAAGAACGCCCCTCAGATCTACCAGCGGATCGTCGACAATGCATTATACGGTCACATGCGCATCAAGCCCGATCAGGATAGATCGAACCCCGTTGACGTCTTCGAGGAAGGAGAGCCGGAGCCAGAGCCTAAGCCATCGGTCCTCGGGCGGAGGTCGTATGTGGACGACATCCTTGTGACCGGCGACACGTTGGATAACATGTGTAACCGTGTCAACAAACCGCTCGGCGTCTGTGATCGGTGGAACTTGTCGATCAGCGTAGCCAAGAGCTACTGGGGTCGACGCAAGATAGCATATCTAGGACACGAAGTATTCTCAGCTGGGCTGGGAGCGAAACTGAAGGAGCTTGAAGCAATAGCTAACCTTCCGTTCCCCACTAAGCTGAAGGCGATGTAGTCATTCCTCGGAAGCTTGAATTATTACAGCCGCTTCATTGAGGACTTCGCAGTCTATGCCGCGTTCTTGTACGAGCTGCGAGAAGCATACTTCCACGAAATCGCCAAGATGGACGCAGAAGAGACTGGGGAGACGCGGACCGATGAGGGTCAAATAACTGGGGGCGAGCGCGATAGGTGGGCGAGTGTGAAGAACGCCTTCACTATGTTGAAGGCGAAGATTATTGCCACACCGGTACCGAAGCAATTCGTCCCGGAGCGCACCCCCGTCATCATGCTGTACGCGAATAAGTGGGCCATATCAGCGGCATTGATGAAGGAACACGAACGTGGGTACCACCCGGTGACCTTAACCAGTCGTACGCTGAAGGCAAACGAACTCAACTATGGAGTGGTGGATAAAGAGGTATTGGCCCTTCACCGGATCTTGGACGTCTGTTACTCACAGCTGGTAACCAGATCGATCAAGGTCCTGTCACGATTCTCGACCTTGGCCTGGCTGCTCAAGTCGAACGGGTTCGACGGTCGACTGGGTAGGTGGGCAGCATTGTTATCAGGATGGAAGTTGGAAGTCACCAAATGTGTAAAGGGTGAAGACGAAATCCTTGGGACAATCGCAGCTAGCATCACCGCCAGAGCCGATGTAGAAGAAGCCCTAGTCGCGATAGCACCCAAGAAACAGCCACGCAAAATGATCACCAT